CTGCACCGCGCCGGGACCCCCGGGGCCACAACCCCCGTGTGGCCAAGGGGTGGGCGCGAAAACCCCAAGGGGGAGCAGCAGGGAGGGGGGATAAAACAAAATGACACGTGGAAAGAGAGGGGCTGGAAGGACCTGCAGCGAGTTGGAGAGGCCTCTGCTGGCCCTTGGGGGTCTGGTCCTGCTGGGAAGGAGCAGGTCCCAGGCAGGAAGAGGAGGGCGAGGGGGTCTCTGAGCCACGGGAGGGGAATTTGAGGCGATTTCTGCCATTTTGACTATCAAGAGGCTTCATTCCATGTGGACATAGAGCAGGTGGGGTTTTAACAGGGGAGGCTGCTGCAGGGGGTGGGTCCCTCATCCCATTTCCTACACCCCCCTGCCAGGCTTTCCCAAAATGTTCTGAGTTTAGGACCTCCCCATCCCACTACTACAAAGCAGCCCCCCCAGGCGCCTCAAATCCCTCCCTGTTTGATCCGTTGGAGAGTTTAAGCTGGGAGGAAGACGCCCGGCCAGGGCTTTCCACGGCTCTGAGGGCTTGATGACAGCCGGGAAAGGTGAGGACGGCCAGGAAGGGGATCCGGGGGACGGATTTGCTCATTATCTTGTGTACAAATAGCAGCCCCAAGGCCGCCATTCCGGAGCGGGATGGGCTCGGGTGCCGGGTTGGCGTCGCGTTTCCTGCGGGCCCTTCTGCCCCCCGCCCCACGGATGTTCTCTGCGGAGCAAAGAGGAGAATGGGGGGTCCGTGCTGGAATGCAAGGAGCGGAAAGGAGGATTGCACCGGACTCCCGTAGTAACCCCTATGGATCACGTTGAGGGGATGGGATGTGTCTGATGGATCCCTAGGGATGCGGGGAGACGCTCCGGGCCCAATCTGCCGTCTGTGCCGTCCCGGCCCTGCCGCGATCAGCTCTAAACCCTGCTCTCCCCCCAGCACCGCGCGTGCCCCCCGGCAAGGCCAATCCCGGCCCTAACGCAGCCGAGGATCCCGGCCGGCCGCACGGGGGGGATTTACCCCTGGGATCCCACAGCCGGGGGAAGAGGCACCTCCTGCCCCGGGGAGGCGCCGGGGGCAGCTCGGGGCAGGGAAGGGG